TTTTTTTTTTTTAACAAAGAGAGAATTTATTCACAGGGATTTTCAAATACAAACAAAATGGCACTTTAAAATTTTTTACAATATGAACATAGAAATAAATGTGGTACAGCACAGTACAATAATGGACAAAAGAAAACACGATCCAATCCTAGATTTATGTAGCAGCAGCCAAAAGTTTGTGAATCCTGATTTCATAATTATAGATTTACATACGACTAATAAGTGTGACAATTCAAACAGCAGAGGTTGTCATTTCAGAATAAGTGGTTGTTCTCAGAAAAGAATCTCATCTGAGGGATCAATTTCCCAGGAAGCAGATGGAACCAATTGCTGGGTGTGAGCACCTCTCTGACATCAACTATTCAAATGAGTATACAATGAAACACTGCCAGGCCCACAGGTAGGGTTTTACTGTACTTTATTTCAGGTTCTGGAGTCATAATTGGGTTTATTCTAATGTCTCCTCAGCAGTCAGTAATTTGAGCCCCTTTCATTACTGTTAAAGCAGCAGTGACTGTATCTTCAGAGCCTGCGAGGCTGTAGTAATTTGAGCTCTGCAACGTGAAACCAGAAAGCACTAAAAGTACGTGTGAGTTCTAGAAATTTGACTTTTTTTTTTTTTTTTTTTAAGAAGAAATTTAGGCTGGTGTGGTGGCTCATGCCTGTAATCCCAGCCCTTTGGGAGGCTGAGGTGGGAGGATTGTTTGAGCCTGGCAGTTTGCATTTGCCTGGCCCACATAGCAAGACCTTGTCTCTGCAGAAAAACCCCAGCATTTAAAAATAGCTGTGTCTGGTGGTGCACACCTGTAGCCTCAGGTACTGGGGAGGCTGAAGCGAGAGGATCACTTGAGCCCAGGAGTTTAAGGCTGCAGTGAGCTATGATTGCACCACTGCACTCCAGCCTGGATGACAGAGCAAGACCCTCCCTCTTAAAAAAAGGGAGAAATGTACACTTGGCAGGGAAGTTGATATAACCTAGTAAGAGCTGTAATAGGTTTTCACTAGGACTCAAAGAGTTCGGTTCTGACTCCAACAACCAGCTATATGACCTTGAGGAAGTCACACAGTTTCCTCTTTAGCAAAATGAGGGGACTGGACAAGATGGCCTGTGGTATTCTCAGAATCTTATGAAACGGAAAGTTATATACATAGATGGGTTTCCATCACTGTGGCCCTAAAGACAGGCCTCTCTGGTCCTGTCTGTCTTCCAAGGCTCCTTCTTCACCCAGCAGGCTTCATTCTCTTTTCTGCGTTCCCCCTTTGTGTCTTCACCTGCGACAGCCACGATTCCCCTGGCACTTCCCTTGTGTGTGTGTGTCACAGCCCCAGCGATGTTCCTGCAGGGAAGGCCAAGTCCCAGGGCCCAGTGACGCCTTAGCCTGGCTCCTGGCTCTCCTCGGCAAACCGTGGGCAGGGTGTGCCCCTGGTGGCCAGCCGAGGAACAGCACCCACCCCTGGAGGTCGTGAGCTGCGTCCACTTGAACGCTCGGTCCCAAGTCACTGGCCAGAGAGGATTCAATGGTGGTGTTCTTTGTAGAAATGTTTCCCTTTCTAAGACAAACTAAAACTTTGCCTATCCTTTTGTCCTGTTGTTTCTTTTCTATCAAATGTCTAAGAGTGTACATTTGACAATGCATTATGAAAGAGGTGAGAGTTAAAATGTTTAAAAATCAACAGTGACTTGTTTCGCTGAAAAATCAATGCTTAAATCTAAATTTGAGCAGACTTAATTTGCTGCTACAACTCTTCCGACAAGCTGGAGTTGACGCTTGAGCCCTTTGTAGAGGATGATGAGTAGAGCCGAACATTGAGCCCTGCCAGGGGGCATTTTCCTTTTCCACCTTCAAGGGCATTTTGGGGCTGGCCTTGCAGGATTTGTTTGTTGGCTGCTTTGAGAGTTGTGTCCATTGTTTTGAGCACATCCCTTGGGGGAGTATACGATAGATTCCAAAGGGGTGCTCTCCAGAGCAGTGCCCCCACTGAGAAGATGAACCCTCAGTCCTGTGCCCCCAGGCACCTGAGGGAACTGAGAAAGCGTGCGCAGCCTAAGGAGGAAGTCTGTGGGGCAGACAGGAACCAGGATAGGTTTCTCGCTGGGTGATAGGGTGAGCCTGGATATCGAGGAAGGAAGAAAAGGAGCAAATCGAGGTTCTGTCTCCTGAGCTTGGGGGGGCTACAGGTGGGGCAGCCCTGCCTCACCGTTTGTGTGCTAGCCCTCCTGCCGTGTGCCTTGCCCTGCTCGGGAACTCTTGGAGGCCAGGGAGGATGGAACAGTATCTCCCTGTCAATGGGGTCTAGCCTCCTGTTGGCATGGGAAGGGAGGGTTTGGGGAACGCTGTTGAGCGAGTGAAGAATGAATGAATGAACGAATGAATGGACGAGCCCTGAGAAAGAGAATTCCTAAGCTGCAATGGAGAAAGGTAGAAATGAGCGGAGTTGGTGTTGCGGAGAGACCCCCACCCTGCCTACTTGGCAGTTTGTAGGAATCAGTTGGCCTCATGAAAGTGTGCTGCCTGCTGTAAGGAGCATTTTCCTAATCTTCAAGGGCAGGGCGGGGCAGGGCATCACGGTTTCTCCAGGGTTACATGGGCTAAAGTCGGGCAAGGATCTGCTCCTCCATAGGAGGTCTTAAAAATGACTGAGATGAAAAGAGTTGTGGCCTGGGGGACTGTGAGGGAACATGAGCCAGAATCCATACTTGAGGTGCAGCTCAGAAATAGCAGTGGCATCGATTGGCATCTCATGAGCTGATGTTTTAATTCTGCCATCACCTCTTTGAACTCTGTGCATTGATTTGCACGCAGCAGATAAACAGCAGCTTTGGTGCTGTATTTGTTACGGCTCAGAGTCAGTGCAGGCTGCTCTCCTTGGGAGGCGAGACCTTCTAGAGAGGGATTTTCTGATGAGTATTAAAAACCAAGTCCCCTGTTGCCCCAGATTTGCTGGAATTGTCCCCCAAAAACAGGGCTGAGAAGGAGTAAAAATAATTCAGATTGCCAGCTGGTATTTCAAATCCCATTTCATATTTCGTGTCTGAAGAAAACCAGCATTTCTCTGAATTTCAACATTTTGTCCTTGACCTTTTGGCTTTCAAAGTTACACCTTTAATGTAAGAGAATAAAATCAACTATGTTTTCCTTCCTTCGATAAATGACTTGTTTCCCTTTTGCTTATAGTTTTTAGAAAGCCTCCATGATCCTCTCAGGTGGGAACATGTTGGCAATGGCGCTGTGTTAATAAAGCCTCGGGTCCCGGGTTCTCTGCCTTCCCTGCCTCTCTCAGAACAGCAGCCATTAGCAACTGAGGGCAGGTGCTTTTCTCTACTTTCTTATACTTTTTGGTTAACTTTCTGACTTTATTTTCTAATTCCTTGAAATTTTAATTTCTACTATCATATTTTTAATTTTTTTTTTTTTTGAGACAGGGTCTTACTCTGTCACCCAGGCCGAATGCAGTAGCGCAATCATAGCTCATTGCACCCTTGAACTCTCAGCCCCAAGCAATCTTCCTGCCTCAGCTTCCCAAGTAGCTGGGACTGCAGGCTCATGTCACCACAACTGGCTAATTTTTACTTTTTTTTTGTAGAGTCAGGGGTCTTGCTATGTTGCCCAGGCTGGTCTTATACTCCTGGCCTCAAGTGTTCATCCTGCTTTGACCTCCCACAGTGCTGGGGTTACAGGTGTGAGCTGCTACACCTAGACACATTTTAAATTTCTAAAAGGTCGGTCATATTCTCTGAATGATCTCTTAAAATAGCATCCTGCTCTTTTTTGTGTGTGTATGGAGCGGGGAGCCTATGAATGTCTGGCATTTCTTAGTGAGTGTTCATATTGAAAAAATTAAAATGTAAGTTGAAAGCTCTGTTTGTATTGGGACTTATCAACTGCCGCACACATGGCCTTTGGTTAGGGGACCCAAAATATCAGGAACTCGAGAGCTTTTTTTCCTCTTACCTAAAGGGGATCCCCCACTGCTTCTGTGTAGGCTTATACAGCTCAGGGTGAACAGCACCCGGCCACTCCCTTAGCTGTGCCTGATGTCCCCAAGTCCAACTCTGTCTGCTGCAGGCTTCCTAGAGAGCAAAGCTCTGACCCCGGTTATGTGGCCTGGGGCTCCAGGGTGGGTTGTTGTGTAGCCTTTCGACTGATCTGTTTTCAGCCATGCCCTCCAATTCTTGACGTCTTCCGAGGCTCTGCGGCATGAATCGACCTTCTTCTTTATTGGCTTCTCTCCCTGCCGGCACTTTGGTTTCAGCTTCTTCATTCTCAGGGACCGCTTGTCCTCCTGAATTTTGTTGATACCACTTGTCTGGTGTTATCTCTTCTCCTATCTCTTTGACCTTGTGAATTTGTGTTTTTTATTTCTTAAACCACTTTACAAAGGCTTTGGAAGGGAGTGGATGTAAATGCATGTCTTCAATTTCCAGTGTGTAATTGGATCCTTGTCCCAATCAGCTTTAAATAACTATTTAAGAGTGAAAGATTTGAGACAAGACCATTATATAATTAAGCAGAATTTGGAAGTTATTACCTAACCATCAGATTCTAAAAAGAAAATGTTAGAAATGTGGAAATTAGAATTAATAGGTTTTATAGGGTGACACCCAGAGAAACAGATTACCTGTCTTTTGAATGCAAGGTTTTGAACAGAATGAATTCTATTTCTGCCAAAACAATGTGGTATGTTCACATACTTCTTCTCTACACCCCTCCCAAGATTTCCAAATCTCTGAAAATACATCCATGGTGAACGTGTTCACTTTTGGTTAAATATTGTATATATGTCAGGCATGTTTCTGAAACTTATTTTTACCATACTTTTTTCTTTTTATGAAAGCAATACAGTTTTATTGTAGAAAAATATTGGTAAGAAATAGAAGAAAATCTTCTCCCACTCCCTTTCCCAGTCTCATCAACCAGAAATAGCCAGCCCTGTCCTCTGGTTATCTATGAGAGTTGCCGTCCTTCAACTTCTTAGTTATATCTTCATTTCTTTTCTAGGACACTGGGGTTGGGAAATCAAGCATTGTGTGTCGATTTGTCCAGGATCACTTTGACCACAACATCAGCCCTACTATTGGGTAAGTTCCTGTATGTCGTTCTACTTCACGTTGCTTCCTTTCACAGCGTCGGAATGGCCACTCTGTCTGTGCCTGAGCCCTCAGGCAGGGTCACAGTTTTCATCCCAGCCAGTGAGAATCAATTCCAGCTGTAGACCGACAGAAGTTCAAGGACTTCTGAATACGTGTCCAGGCTTACTGTCCCTGTCAGTCATTTTTTTCATAGTTACCCTTCCTCATGCTTACCCTTCCAAGGTCATTTCCTTGATCTCTGAGAACATTATTCTGCAAATCTTGTCAGCATTATTTCCAGACGGAAGACGGTATTGCAGAGCAAATGCCTGATAATTCTGCTTTAAGTTGCCTGATAGTAAACCCTGGAAATGCCATCCGCCCGTACCTCAGTGCTGTCTGGAAAGTCTGTGGAGCAGATTGACTTTCCTTTTCTGGAATTATCTTTTTATTTTCCCCGCCTTGAGACTGAGTCTTTCTCTGTCATGTTGCCCAGGCTGGAGTGCAGTGGGGCCATCTTGGCTCACTGCAACCTCCACCTCCCGGGGTCAAGCAAGTCTCCTGCCTCCACCTACTGAGTAGCTAGGATTACAGGTGTGCACCACCATGCCCAGCTGTATTTTTGTATTTGTAGTAGAGTTGGGGTTTCACCATGTTGGTCAGGTTGGTCTCGAACTCCTGACCTAAAGCAATCCACCTGCCTCAGCCTCCCAAACTGTTTGGATTACAGGCATGAGTCATTGTGCCTGGCCCCTTTTCTGGAATTATCTAATGCCAGCGTTTCCACTCCCATGCTTGGGGTGGGGTGGAGGTTCATTATCAAATTCTCCTGACCTTGGGATGCACAATCGTTTTCCTCTTCATCTCCCTTTTCCAATGAGCTCGTTGGCCACGTGTGCTTTTGCTCTGCTGTTTGGCAAGTGCCTGCTTTTTCACTCTTAGAACTTGGCCTTGCTTATTTTTCATCCTGAGGATATCATGTCTTTGTAGGCAAGCTTTTACTTTCCTCAGAAGGGAAAGAATGTGTCTGTATGTTTCGGGAAATCTGTAGGATTGTTGAGGATGGGAGACTATGAGAAGTGGAGAAAATCCATGGTGCGAAATACGTAGTGCTCAAGAGTACAAGGCCGGCGGTTGGAACTGTGTAGCTGAGAAAACCCACATTTTGTTGTTTAGAAATGACTTCAAGAAACATATTCATGAAAATACCAAGAATTAGGAAAAGTCTGAGATTTTGCTCTAATTATAGCCTGCAACTTGTTAACAAGTTAGCAGTTGTAACTTTGTTAGCCTGACTCAGTTTCAGGGATGCTGGCAGAAGACAAAAGACTCCCGGGTCAGAGACAGAGGCAGTAGCAACAGCCAGAGTTTTGCGTTTTGCATTGGTTTCCTTGGTCCAGATTTCTATAGGGTGACATGAGAATCAGACACCTCACATCCAGGAGGTTATGTCATGGGAGAGGAACCCTGAGCTGAGGGAACCCATGTCTTCTACATGGCGTGGTGAGAACGTTGGTCCTCAGCTCTAGTGGGAGACTGTCCCCTCCAAGGATGTTTGCTATGCAGGTTGAGCATCCCTAATACAAAAGCCGGAAATCCAGAATACTCTCAAATCTGAAACTTTTGAGTGCCAACATGAAGCTCAAAGGTCATACTCAAAATGTTCATTGGACTATTTCATATTTTGGAATTTCAGCTTTAGGCTATTCAGCTGGGTAAGTATAATGCAATTGTTGCAAAATTTTAAAAAAAATCCAACTGGGCCAGGTGGTTAACACCTGTAATTCTAGCTATTTGGAGGCCTAAGTGGGCGGACCACATGAGGTCAGGAGTTCAAGACTAGCCTGGCCAACGAGATAAAACCCCATCTCTACTAAAAATACAAAAATTAGCCAGGCATGGTGGCACATGCCTATAGTTCCAGTTACTTGGGAGGCTGAGGCAAGAGAAGGTGTTGATTGCAGTGAACTGAGATTGCACCACTGCACTCCAGCCTGGGCAATAGAGCAAAACTCCGTCTAAAAAAAAAACATCCCAAATTCAAAACACTCTGGTACTAAACATTTTGGATAAGGAATACTTAGCCTGTACAAGCATCCTTGAAAACACAATCTGGAAAAAACTGTGTTTGCTTGCAAGATGTGCACGATGTGAGAGACCGTAAAGAACTGTCTCCCAACATAGGCACTTCTATGATAGGTACACTTTTCATGGAGGAAATTCTTTTCACTCTGCTCTGGAATGTACTGTTTTTTTCCCATCTTATTTTTCACTTGGTGTGTTTTTTTTCTGATAATAAAAAGCAGAAGTGATAAGAATGATTATGAAGTATGGTTTCAGAAGATAGAAGAGAGATTTGTGCCTTCTGCTTTCTAAACTTTTGTTTAAAAAAATTTTAAGAACAAATCTGCATTCCTTTTGTAATGATCTTTTTTAAAAGTAAAAATACAATTTTTACTTTTAAAAAAAGCAAATTTACAGGGTGAGTACATAAAAAAATAAGCATAAGTGTTAAGCATAGGGATAAACATGATAACGTAGGATAGTTAGGTCATTTTGGTCACAATCTTTTGGGCAAAGAGAGTTGCTGTGCCAGTCCAGATTCAAGGGAGAGGAGACACAGGCCACCTCGTGGTGGAGGAGCCGCACATGCATAGAGGGAGGGTGGGGGATGGGGGATGGATCGTTGGTACCATTTTGGAGACAAACACAGTTGACAGTGTTTTTCTAATAAATGTTTTTCGGTGCTTTGGGGTTTTAAAAAACTTATGTATTACAATTGACCCTTGACCAACTCAGGGATTAAGGTTGCTGACCCTGGACAGTTGAAAAACCACCTATAAGTTTTTTTTTTTGAGATGTAGTTTTGCTCTGTCTCCCAGACTGGAGTGCAGTGGTGTGATCTCGTCTCACTGCAATCTCTGCCTCCTGGGTTCAAGCAGGTTCAAGTGATTCTCCTGCCTCAGCCTCCCGAGTAGCTAGGGATTACAAGTGTGCACCACTACGCTCGGCTAATTTTTATATTTTTAGTAGAGACAGAGTTTCACCATGTTGGCCAGGCTGGTCTTGAACTCCTGACCTCAGGTGATCCACCCACCTTAGCCTCCCAAAGTGCTGGGATTACAGATGTGAGCCACTGTGCCTGGCTCCACTTATAACTTTTGACTCTCCCCAAACTTACCTGCTAACAGCCAACTGTTGACCTGAAGCCTTACCAAGAACATAGTCAATTCACACACATTTTGTACATGATGTGTATTATATACTGTATTCTTACAGTAAAGTAAGCTACATAAAAGAAAACATTATTAAGAAAATCATAAGGAAGAGAAAATACATTTACTATTCATTAAGTAGAAGTGGACTATCATAAAGGTCTTCATCCGCGTCATCTTCACACTGAGTAGGCTTAGGAGAAGCAGGAAGAGGAGGGGTTGGTCTTGCTGTCTTGAGGGTGGGAGGCGGAAGAGATCGACTTAGAAGTGGGCCCATGCCATTCAAACCCAGGTTCCAGGTCAGCGGTCTATGGAAACTCTCTGCACTTTCTGCTCTGTTTTTCCTATAAACTGAAAGTGCTCTAAAAAAATTGTTATCGGTTTAAAAATTATATCTTAGTTTTAAAAATTATGAAAAATTTTATACTATGCAGAAATATATAAAATAAAAAGTGAGGTCAGAGGATTTTACTAGCTTTTCAATCCCTTATTCTTCAGTTTACATAACCAATATTTAGAGTCCAAAGTTTAACGTATTTCTTATAAGTACTTTCTGTGGACATGCAGGTGTACAAGTAGATAATTTCTAAAAATTAAAATGTATCAGACTTTACCTAACAATCCACAACATACATTCCCAGTCCACTTAGGTCCTCCTTACTCTTTTTCATGGCTGGTTGCCAGCCTCTGGGAAACTGAGTCAGGCTGCCAAGTGATGACTGTTAACTTGTTATTAAGTTGCAGGCTGCAATTAGGATATAATACAAGTATGCCCTGTGCAATATTTGGGACATGTGTATACTAAAAATTTATTAGTTCTTTATCTGAAATTCAAATTGAACTGGCATCCTGTATTTTTATTTGCTGGATGTCACAACTCTCACCTCACCCCTCCTTTGGGCTTAAGCCAGGCTGGTTGGGTTTCCGAGTTTTGCAACCAAAGGGACCTCAATAGAAGCAGACAGTTGTGAAATAGGGGCTTAGACAGGTGACTCAACTTTAATTGTGACACAGACAAGATTAAAGTCTAAATGTTTTGATTATAAAAGTTCATGTTTGACTAGGCATGGTGGCTCCTGCCTGTAATCCCAGCCCTTTGGGAGGCCGAGGTGGGTGGATCATTTGAGCCCAGGAGTTCAAGATCAGTTTGGGCAACAGGGTGAAACTCCGTCTCTATAAAAAACAAAAACAAAAAACAAAAATTAATTGGGTGCAATGGCACGTGCCTGTAGTCCTAGCTACTTGGGAGGCTACTTGAGACAGAGTCTTCGCTGTTGCCCAGGCTGGAGTTCAGTGACATGATCTTGGCTCATTGCAACTTCTACCTCCCAGGTTCAAGCAATTCTCCTGCCTCAGCCTCCCAAGTAGCTGGGACTATAGGCATGCACCACCACGCCCTGCTAATTTTTGTATTTTTGGTAGAGTAGGGGTTTCACCATGTTGGTCAGGCTATTCTTGAGCTCCTGACCTCAGGTGATCCGCCCAACTTGGCCTCCCAAAGGAGATTACAGGAGTGAACCACTGCGCCCAGCCCTCTTCCAATTTCTACCTCCTTCCTTGCTTTTTCTTTGGAGTCAGTGTCAGGCTCAGCCCCTCCACCTTATGTATTGTCTTCCTGCAAGTAATTTAATTTGCCGATTAAAAATTGATGAAAATTTCCCCTCTGGAATTTTGAGAAAATGTTTTAAAACCCCAGTTGCAGAAAAATAAAGCTAGTGGGAACATGTTCTAAATGACACATACAGTTTCCCTGGAAGGTGGCAGAAATGGAAAACTTTTAAAATGTTTGAGTGC